AGTTGCTCATTAGCATATTTTCTGCCACAAAAACTTGCAGTGTAGACAAAGCCAGACTGAAGATGGATATTCTGTGCCTCCCTGGAACCTTTCCCAGGAAAAGCCCAAATGGCCAAGGCTCCGGAAAAGCCCCCCCTTGCTTCCCTCTCCTCTGACAAGGAAACTCTGACACTCAGCGAGTGTGAACACAAGCACCAGCCCTGCCCTGTGCTCATAGACTCCATCACTCAGTAACACACCTGCAGTTTGCATTTGCATTTACGTTTTCTCCTCTGAGATTCCCGTCTTCTTTCTCCCTGCTCCAACGGCACACCCCCGGCTTTTGGGGTTGATCATTTTCAATGGCATAATTGGCAACTGGGTGCCCAGGTGACATCTTCCACAGTTCTAAATGACTTAGGACCCTAAATCCCATTGCAAGTCAATGGGGCATGTGCTGAACATCTCCCTCAAAGTATCTTTTACCCTGAACTGAATTATAGGAGTGCCTAGAGGGTCCATGTAACAGCTCTTTAATCATAAGCAAAAGCTCCCAACCTAACCACCTTGGGTCAGACTTGTAGAGGTATTTTGTACTTCAAGATGCAGATCGGCTCCCATGGAGATTTTCAAAACCTTTTTTCTTCCAACCTAGATTTTCCCTTCCTATCTTCAGTCAAAAGCTCTGCTAGTTTCAAGTTCACACAATTGTGTTAGGGGATAGGTGGACATCAGGAAGCGTTTTGCCACTGCATGTCAGCTAGACACAAAATGCATCTGAGTTCACAAACCATTTCCTTCAATTTTGCTCCTGGTCTGACTCAATTTAGAAAACAAAACAGCTAGAGGAGGGTCAGTTGCCAGCTAAAGAGAAAATCAGTACTTGATCAGAAACTAGGCTGTGTCTGCTATAAGAGGAGGGTCTGTATGGGGGATTTATGGCCTTGTCCACATGGTACAACCACCTAGAGTGGGCACAGTTATACCAGTATAAATGAGCTTCTAGCAGTCAAGCTTATTCGTGACAGTACAGTTACACTGGTATGACTGCACCCACACTAGGGCTGTCTGAGTGTAACTGTGGCCATGTCTCCACTAGGAATGCTACCGGCGTAAGTACCCAGTACACCATAGGACTCCACAGGGCACATGAAGGCTACGGCAGTCCAGAGTAAGCTCCCGTGTGTAAATGCTTTCTGCACTGACTGAGGAGTTTTTCCATCACTGCAGTTAACCCACCTCCATGAGAGGCAGGAGCCAGGCCAACCGAAGAGCAGTACCACCACGCCCACGGGAGACAGAAGCTGTACTAGCACCAACGCCGCTTTACGCTTCAGGCCTTCACATGTCTAGTGACTTTTTTATCGCTTTCACTCCCCGGGGCCAGTCACTCCCCACCTCTCAAGCCCTCCCTGCTCACAAGGGCTCCATAGGAAGCCCTTTGCTATCTTCTTGTCCCCTTCTCTGCCTGTCCCGCAGCGAATCACCCCGCACCCAGACAGCAGCACATTCAGGACAATCAACACGTCAGACACCCAAAGGCAGCCACGTTCCAGAGGAAGGGCCTTGGTCCTGTTCCCACTGAAGCCAAAGGCACAGCCTCCTCCTCCCCCCCATCTTTGAAAGTGCACAACGCAAGACTGGCTCTGCCTGTGCTGCTGCCCTGCACTGACTTTGAATCAGGCCTTTGGGAACATCATCCGCTTTGACTCATTCTCTCGGGAGCCCGGTTCTGCCAGGCGCTGGGCACTGCAGGTGGCAGGGAGGCGACACGGTGCCCTAAACCAGCACGTAGCTGCTGAGCTGCTACAGAGTTCAGCCTCCTTGGTCTAAACTCAGGTCTCAGCGGCGGGCCCACGCAGGGAAGTCCGACCATCGCTGGTTCCCTTTTGCTGAGCAAATGATGTAACCAACCCCTGGCCTGACCATCCATGGGCCCTGGGCACTGAGTACAACAGCAGGGAGAGAATCCATTCCCAGGCCCCTGTACCAAAGAGCACGAGCAGTTTGGGTCCAGAACCTCCAAGGTACATAAGCACAATGGGGGTTAAGCACACGACTCAAAGACCTGGGCCCTAAGCTAACAGCTGAACAGTACAGTGGGCAGATGGTCTTGTGTCTTGGTAGATGAGGTGATGATGAGGATCCATGTATAGCCCTGCACCTTGGCTGTCAAAACACAAGTCTTCCATTGGGCTGCTCTACTGGAACGTTACGTTGGCAGAGAGGTGGAAAATCCACACCCTCGCAAGATGGAGTGACACCAACTGAACACTGGGGCAGACAGTCCTAGGTCAGGGGAAGAATTCTTCAGTCAATAGCCTGAGGGGTTGAAGTAACTACACTGACTGGAGAACCCCACCCATCACTGCAGTAAGGCTACATCTACACTGCGGCTTTTGCTGCAAGAGCCTATGCAAATGAAGCACAGAGTAGCATATTGCCACTCTTCATTTGCATAATTTGTTCAAACTGTTCTTGCACAAGGGGGTTTTGCGCAAAAAGAAGCAGTGTGGATGGGGGTTTTTTTTGCACAAAAACCCCGTTTTGCGCAAGATCCTTATGCGTGTCCCAGAGAGGCATAAGTATCTTGCACAAAATAGGGTTTATGCGCAAAAAACCAACCGTCCACACTGCTTGTTTTTGCGCAAAAACCCCTTGCACAAAAAGAAATGGCAGAAAATATGCTAATGAGATCATGACTTATGCTAGTGAACAGGGCTCAACAAACCGCTGTTTCTACTCGCCCATGGCGAGTATTTCAGCCGGTCGCTCCGTGCGCCCCATTCACCGGTGCAGCGTGCATGCTCAGTGCAGGTCTGGCGCATGCACGGTGCGGGGCTGGCGAGATGCTCTCGCCGCAGTTTGTCGAGCCCTGCTAATGAGTCCCTCATTAGCATATTTTCTGCCAAAAGAACTGGCAGTGAAGACGAAGCCTAAGTGTCTACACCAGGGGTTGGCAGACAACGGCCCATGGTGGCCCACAAGCGCCTACCCAGGAGCAGGCCCAGAAACTTGTCCCCTCCCCCTTCCTCGCACTCTCCAGCCACCATCTTCCAGCAGAGGCAGAGCACGTGGCAGCATGCCTTTGCCCAAGCACCCCCTGGTCTCCTACAGCCCCACGCTCGAGAGCCTGGAAACCACCCAAGGGCTGCACCCTTCCCAGCTAGGCTAGGGTGCCTCTTCCTCTTGTGGGGCCTGGTACGGCCACCGTGGTTTCACTGTCAGCAGGGCCCCTAAGAATCCCCACTACTGCCCCCTTAGAGCCCCCCGCCCCCCCCTTGGTAATATCCCTTATAGAGCCCCCTGCCACTACAGCCCATCAGTCCTCCTGCCCCACCTTGTTCCGCCATACAATTTCCATATGCAAATGCGGCCCTCAGGCAAAATAGTTTGCCTGCCCCGATCTACAGTGAAATGCTTCAAGCAACACAGCTGCAGCGCCACAGCTGGGTCCTGGTGGCCTTTTAAGTGTAGACGCAGCCTGAATGCGATGGCTGTTGCAAGGTGCAGCAAAACATGCAGCGATCTCTGCACCTTCCCGTTTTATCTATTAAGCTGCCATGAGAGAAAGTCCATCCAATACACTGGCGGGCCCTGACAATCTTTTAAAACATTGCAGTAAACAGACTCATCATTTACTCAGTAACAAATCCAGTTATCCAGGGACAACATAACTAGAGAGAATCAGTCCCCTCACACCATCCCCATTGGAGTGCAACCCAAAGCTGTCCTGCCCACCTCCTCCCCGGCCAGGGAGAGAAGGGACATTACAGGCCCCTGAAGGCTGACACAGGCCTTGGAGAGAAGAGAGCTCCAGAGGCCTCAGACCCAGGTTGCCTTTTATAACCCTGTCACACCTCCATGGCTAACAAGGGCCTACTCTTCACACTTCACAAAAAGAAACTCTTCCCCAACCCTGACCCTGCCACTGTCTTTCTTTTAAAGAAACCCTTCAGTGTAAAGCAACCCAGTGATGCACACAAAGATTCTGATTTCCCATGTTAATAATTGCAAAGTGACAAAGCTAACCTGAAGGCCAGCTTTCTACTATTTGCTTACAGAAAAGGAAAATGGTCCGTTTGTATAGAGAGATTTTACTCTTAACTTTTCTGCAAGATTCTGTCCCTGGATTTGCTGTTGAGAAGGTAGGCCTGGCTCCCGGCACAAGGCAAACCGCTGCGCCTCCCAGTCCTTCAAGGACATCAAAAGGGTCGCGTGGATTCCCTGGCAGGACTGGGGCCTTCCAAGGCCTATAGCTGAAGGAAGCGGCCTGATGGGGCTTTGCTGCTGTCCACATCTCCCACTATAAATGTCTGGGCATTGCAAACAGTTCTGCAAAGGCTTTTAAGTCCACGGTAATGGGACTGAAGTCAGTGGGACCCCTGTGGTGCTTAAAATGAGGCATGTTCATTAGTGACTTGGGGCCTAAAGAAGACGGAGTCTTCCTAAAGGAGAAGTGATGGGAGGGAATTCTGGGCGGGAAAGTCTGGAGCATGCTTTGGGACAAAATGTTTTCCATTCACATTTTCATATGTATACAGCCTGAAAATCCCCCACGATCACAGCTGGCCCACAACATTTTGGCACCTGAGGCGGGGAGCTCAAATGACGCCCCCCTGTCCCCTCGCTTGGGCCAAAACTTTGAAAGGTTCAATTCTCTGGGTCCTAGCGGTGCCTCCCCACAGTCTGGCACCTGAGGCAGCCGCCTCATGGTAAGGCCAGCCCTGCCCATGCTTTGCACCAAATCCACAGGGTAGCGTTGTGGCAACATTGCCAGCTCATTTACATGGGGGCAAGTGGAGTTAGTCCGGATTCACAGGGGCCAGCCAACTATGAGACCTCAGGTACTCACACTGCTAGTACTGCGGATCTGCACAGAGGCGTGGGCCCCCTACGCGCGTGGGTTGGGTTTTTTCTGACAATTTGCCCTCCGCACAGCTCTGCCTCCAGGCAGGGGGGAGGAGGCAACTCGCTGCACTGACCCACCCACCCTTCCTCCTTCCCCTCCCCCGCACTTCAGAGCCTCAGGAGGGGGCGTGGGGGAGCCCAGGGAACGGCCTGCGGTCGATTTGCTGCCCCTAAACTGTGCGCCCAAGTGCGTGGAGTGGACCCAGCCCTGGGAAGGGATCTGACGTCAAGCCCAGAGGTGGTTTCCAGCCGGAGCTGTCAGGCAGCGCGTTAGGTATTAAAGAGCCATCCAACAGCCCCAGCCCCCTCCTCTCCCAAACCTCCCACCACACAAAGGGAGAGGGGGCAGCCCGGAGCTGGAGTGAGGCGGGGAGCGGAGCCCGGCAGGGGAATGAAACCCAGGAGGAAAAGTAAGTCTGGGAAGCTGCAAACTTTGTGCCAGTTTCCAGCCGGAGCTGTCAGGCAGCGCGTTAGGTATTAAAGAGCCATCCAACAGCCCCAGCCCCCTCCTCTCCCAAACCTCCCACCACACAAAGGGAGAGGGGGCAGCCCGGAGCTGGAGTGAGGCGGGGAGCGGAGCCCGGCAGGGGAATGAAACCCAGGAGGAAAAGTAAGTCTGGGAAGCTGCAAACTTTGTGCCAGGCAGAGCGCGGCTTTGCTCTCGGCTCCCACGCGCCGCGTTTTTGCGGGGGGGGGGGGGGGGGGGGCGGCCAGCGCCCCCCCATCCGACAGACTCTGCAGAAACTCCTGCGTCGCCCTGAAAAGAAACGGCCCCGGGGGGAGAGGAGGAAAAATACCTTCAAAGCACTGAGCTATGGAGAGACGGGGCGGGCGGCAGGGGGACCTTTTGTTTGATCACACTTCTTGCAACGTTTCAGGAGGGCCCGCAAACCCGACCGCATGCCTCTCCCTGCCTTGCTCGTGATCCTCTTGCACAGCAACCCCCCCGCGCCGGAAAAAAAATCCCCAGGGGATAGTTCCCTCTTCGCTAATTTCACCCCCTCTGGATCCCCAAATCTCAGCCCGCCCCTCCCCCCCGCCTTTACCCCGCAATCCTTGTTTGCGGGGAATTTTTGTTTGCAGAGCTAGTAAAGTGACAGCTGGGGGGGACCGGAGCGCGGGGGGGGGTGGAAGTTAGGTGGGGGGGGGCGCGCAAGTTCCTGTTTCTTTTGGAACAAAGAGAACTCTGTTTAGGCATCTGTCACTCCGGGAAAGAGACAGAGAAACTTTCTCTGTGTGTCCCTCTGCCTCGCCCTCCGAGCTCTGCTCCCCTCTAGGCGTGATTTCTTGTTGGGGGGGATCCCCTGTTTTTCCACCCCGGGAGGAGTGCAGCTGGACCCGGCGGAGCCCCTCCCCATGCCATGGAAGGGCCGAGGAGAAAGAGAAGGAGGTCTGGGGGTAAGATCGCAGATGTAACAGGCAGAAAACATGGAGTCCCGGTTTGTTTTGTGTGTGGAGTGTGTGTGAGATGCAGGGATTTAAAGAAAGGGGGAACCCCCCCTTGCATCGGGATTCAATCCGCAACTTTCCAAACAAACCTGCTCCCTCCCCCAACCGGATCTGGGGTCGGTTATAAACTCGGGTTTTGCAGAAATAAAGGGAAGGGGGGGTTGATGTTGCTCTGGCTGCTTTTTGTCCCTGTCCAAGAGGGGGAACTTTACTTGGGCCACGTGATTTCTCCTTTTTGTCCGTGTCCCTCTCCGTGGAGTCCAGGCGGAGTAAAGAAGTTTCTTGCAGGGGGGGATGGTGCGTGGCCGCCTGGCGGGGCTCGCGGGGTGGGCGCTGCGGCCGCGAACACGCGAGCTCCCTTTGTGCGGGCTCGCGGCGGCGCTGGAGGGATGTGGAACTTTGGAACCGGCTTCGCGGGGTGGCTGGGGCTTGGCCCGGGCGGGGGGGCTTAGATCCAACCTACGTGTCTTAAATCCCCCCCCCAGCCTGTTGTGGATTCTCCTGGGGCTGGTCGCGCGTCCCCCGGGCAGCTGGCGGCGGGGGCAGCGCGGGGCCAAAGGGAAGCCGCAGAACCGCCCCCAGCAGCCCCCTGGCCAGGGCTCCATTTGCTTAATTAGGGAGGCAGCTTCGCTCCGCGCTGCTGCGGGGGGCTCACGTCTCCCTGGGCTGGGGCGGGCTTTGTGTGCGGGCGGGCGGGCAGCGACCGGCGCCGGGGACTCGAATGGCACCTCCAGCCCCGCTCTGCCGCATGGCCGAGAGCCGCCCGGAACGGCAGGGATCGGCCGCAGGCGAGTTTGAATTTCGCCCATTGAGTTGTGTGTAGGGGGGAGGGTTGTATCAATTAGTGCAGAGGCTGCAGCTGCGTGGGGGAGGGGGCGGGAGAGGCGCAAATGAGCTTGTGCAAAGTGTTCCCAGGAGTAACTGTGCGTGTCCTCCCGAGGGTGCCCCACCGCTCACGAGTGGCTCTGTGTCTCGCTAGGGCGCCACAGGACCATGCATCTGACGAAGTGGGTCTTTGCCCACGAAAGCTTCTGCTCCTACACTTCAGTTAGTCTATAAGGTGCCACAGGACTCCTCCTCGCTTTTGCAGAGCCAGACTAACAGGGCTCCCCCTCTGATACAGGACCCAAAGTTTCCCAAAGTTTGTTTTAAGTTACAGACTGACAGGGCCGCCCCTCTGAGCTGCCTGTATTCGCGTTGGGAGGATTAGCGCGCCCAGTGGGCTTCTGGAGATACTTGGCAGGCAGAGGGTTAGATTCGTGCTCAGGATCTTACCTGGGATGCGCTGCAAGGTCAAAGGGTGTTTCTTCTCCTTGCTGTCACAACTTGGAATTGTAAGGCTGCCTGACAGGAGCCTGGTACATGCCATGGGGCTGGGTGCACATTCCTAAGGCATGGTTGGCTTTGGGGTGTATTCCCTAAGAAAGTGGCCAGTGCCGGGCTCTGATCCTGCACAAGTTTACACTTGTACTGAACTCCGCACAGAGAGTTGTCCCAGGGGAATAGGAGTGTTAGGCCCACTGGAATCTGCTGGATTAGGGCCTTGGAGGCCAAAGTTAGTTGTCTGAACAACTGGCCCATTGCTCAAAGGCACAGAGCACCCTGCACCTTCTGTGTAGTTCCCATGAAGGGGTTCTGTGATGAATATGAACAGGCTACCCATAGAGAGAGAGAGTGTGTGTGTGTTGGTTGTGTGGTGGTGGGGAATAAAAGGCAATGGACCTGCATGCTGCTTGAAGGAGGCGCAGGGTTTTTGCCTCACTGCTGGGGGTCTGCATGGGACTAGGACGAATGACCGTTTCATCTTCATTCCTGAGCAGCTCTCGGGGCTGGGATTCTGCCCAAAGTAGCCCCTCAGCTGAGCCGGGTTTGTTAATTTAACCCCTTTGCATCAGGGCAGTCACAGCGTGGAATGCAGTGTAACCTGTACCTTGCTTTGTTTTCACTCCACTAGGCTTTAACCAGGAGCGGTCTGCAGGCAGCTCCACCATGTCAGACAGCGACCTCGGAGAAGATGATGGGGCTGCCTCTCTGGAACTGTTGCAGTCGAACAAGAGGAAAAGAAGAGGGAACCTCCCAAAAGAATCAGTGAAGATCCTCCGAGACTGGCTCTACGAGCATAGGTTCAATGCATATCCATCTGAGCAAGAGAAACTCAGTCTGTCTGGACAGACCAACCTCTCTGTGCTGCAGGTAAGAACATGGCTTCTCTCGACTTTCTCTGGCTCCCTCCACCAGGGCACAAGTTAAATGCATGCCATATGGGGGTAGGACCTGACCCTGCCTAATATTTGGCAGCAAACTGCTTTGCATTTGTATTGTGCAAAGGAGAACGCATGTGAACATCTCCAAGAGCACTGCAGGTTGTAAAGCTATAACGTAGAGCACCTTTCCTCCTGGATAACACTTAACACCCTGTTGAGTGCAACTGCATTGCAAAACTGTAAGGCGCTGGCCTTTGGGATTGGGTGTAACCACTGCTCTTACTAAAATTGCCTTGGGGTTTTTATTTCTGTATGTTCATAAAGTCTTTCTAGGCAGAGCTATGGAACCATTGCTCTCAGGAGTGCTGAGTTAAAGGGCAGAGGCTGCCTCTCGTACTCCTAACAAGTAGTTCCTTTGACAGATTGGTGGATTTGCTAGATGAGAAGGCTGAAAGGTGATTAGTTTTCAATTGAAGCTGAAATGTTGTGCAGTGATGCCCACTCACACCTGGTCTGGATGTGAACCCATGCCATTAGAAGTGGATGCAGCACAGCTGTGAGGAGCATGCTGTTCCAGAGACTGTTTCATCTGCCCAAATGAATTGGGGGAGGTTTTGTCCCAGTAACCCAGTCTGGGGAAGCTGGCATGGGGAGCAGCAACATCCCAGAGCAATTCTGCATCCATCCATCTGTGCATGGCTGGAAGATTATGATGCCCACTTCTGAATAGGGGCTATGCCAGGCTGACACGTGGCTTGGTCACTCCTGCAGAGTCACTGTAAATGATCCACATGAGGCACATTGGCTGGCCTATGTGGGCTAGTGCACAATGGGGCTGAGGTCTGGTTTCTTAGTGCAGAGAATTAATTTTGGGGCACAACTCAAAGTCTGGGGTAAGGGTCCCTTCCAGATCCCTGTCTCCCTGTGTGAGGTGGCTGCCAGGTCCCAGACTTTGATGGGGCCCCCAGTCTGATGCTCCAACAGAGCTAAAGCCCATTGCTGAGTGACATTTAACAGATTCAGGGCTGACATGTGTCCCTCCATGTCCCTTCTTTTCTTGCTGTGGAATTCCAGCGTAGGCAAGTCCCCGCAGCAGGAGAGTTCTCTGGGTTGTGACGCTCTGTGAGGTTTCCCTCTTCATGAGCCCTGGCAGGCTTGATTTGTGTGTGGTGCTCATTCTGTGGCAAACCATATCCCTGCCCACTGGGGAGGGGATGTTCTGCAGGGGGATTGTGAGCAGCGCTAGGTTGTGGGATGTGCCTGCTCAAACCCTGTTGGTTTGGCCTCTAAAGATGTCCTGACAGTGTCCATTTCAGCAGGGGCTGCGCGGCTGTGGGCAG